TGCCCGTTTGCCCTGTCATGGCTAATCTCATAAGGGGTGCTTACCAATTCCCCCACAGGGAGCAAAAGGTTCCTGTGTACTGTCTTTGTCTGCCCTGGACCCTCTTCAGGTTTGATCTTGTAGACCGGCAGATCTCCCAGCTGTTCTATCACCAAGTAGGGCATTGCCTTCCATCTGTCAGCTATCTTGTGTTTGCCAGCAATACCCAAATTTTGCAGCAGGACTCTGTCCCCGGACTGGCGAACATACCCTGCCATCATAGCGATGTTTATTGTGGTCTGCGTTCTTCTGAGCCGCAGTTGTAGCTAAGCGATATGCAACCTGCAGCTTCTCTCTTAGTTGGGATACATATTGCTGATGAGTTTCATAACTATCTCCATCCTCTGATACACCAAAGCACAGATTTATGGTTAATCTTGGTTCTCGCCCAAACATAAAAAAATATGGTGTGGCTTCCGTAGCATCATTCCTCGTCGCATTGTAGGCATGCACCAGAAATGCGACATATTGGCTCCCACTTGCCTTCTGCTCTGGTCGCAAAGTCCCCAACGTATCTAATAGGGTTCGATTGAACCTCTCTGGCTGGGGATCCCCTTGTGGGTGATAGGGCGTCATCCTAGACTTTTTAATTCCTGCTATGCTCAGTACCGCTTTTAAAAGGAGACTCTCAAAGTCCCGCCCCTGATCTGAGTGTATCCAGGCTCTGAGTGTAATCCATACCCTGATCTGAGTGTAATCCATAAACTGAGAAATATTTTTCCCACAGTATTCGAGCAACGGTGGTGGCCCTCTGATCACGTGTGGGGTATGCCTGTGCATACTGCGTAAAATGGTCTGTCACTACTAGGATGTTCCCAATGTTCCTCTTGTCTGCTTCTAAAGACAAGAAATCAATGCATACCAGTTCCAAAGGTTTGTTGCTGGTGATGTTCTTGAGATATGCAGCTCTCGTGGGCAGTGTTTTCCTTTGAACACATTGAGCACAAGTCTCACATTTTCTGCGAACATCTGCAGCCATCCGGGGCCAATAGAACCTACTATGAACAAGTTCCAGGGTCCTCTCCATCCCTAAATGTCCAAAGTCGTCATGCAGGGCACTCATGGCCAGGGCTCTGTACTCTTTCGGTAGCACAAGTTGTGTCCGTTGCTTTTGTAAAGGGTCGGTGGTTATTCGGTGCAGCACCTCCCGAATCAGTTTTAGTTTGGTCCATTCTCTCAATAGTAGTTTACCCTCTGGGTTAGGTGTGACAACCGCCACTGGGCTTTGCCCATCCCCTTTGGCAAGTAGCGTATCACAAATGTCGGCATCTCGCAGCTGGGCTTCTTGCCAATCAGCCGCACTGAGCATGGGCAAGGGAGATTGGTTCAGGGCAATGTAGTTCACTAAAGCAGAGGACACGCATTCAGGGGGCAGGCCCAAAGCTTCTGCAACACACCCGTGAAGGCTCTCAGGGGCCTCTGGCTCTTGGCAACTCACACTGCAGATAGCTCTCACCCCATCCGGGGGTATCACAATAACTTTGGGTGCCTGCGGACGCCGGGACAATGCATCCGCATCTACATTGCTTCTCCCTGATCGGTATTGAATGCTGAACTCATAGCTAGCCAAGGCAGCCACCCATCGCTGCCCAGTAGCATCCAGCTTTGCACTTGTTAACACATAAGTCAGAGGGTTGTTGTCCGTCCATACCTGAAACTGAGCACCATACAAGTAATCTCGAAATTTCTCAGTGATGGCCCACTTCAAGGCCAAGAACTCCAGCTTGTGGATGGGATAGTGAGATTTACTGTCAGACAGTCCTCGGCTGGCAAAGGCTACAGGTTTACATTGGCCTTCCACTTCCAGGTACAGCACAGCCCCCAGACCCTCCAAACTGCCATCAGTATGTAGGATAAATGGTCAGCTTGGATCAGCAAAGACTAGGACTGGAGCCTGAGTTAGGTGAGTAATGATTTCCCGAAAAGCCCTTTCACAACTCTCATCCCACTGTGGCCCAAGCAGTTCGAAAGGGCCATAGTGTCTCTGCACAGGAGGCTTTGGCGGTCTCTTCTTATTCTTGGTCTTAGATTTGTTCTTGCTGGACTGGTGTCCCCTGGTAAGATCATTTAGAGGTTTTACAATCATAGCATAGTCCTTCACAAATCTGCGGTAGTAGCCACTGAATCCAAGGAAGGTCTTGAGTTCTCTGTAGTTTCGTGGATGCTGCCAGGTAGTGAGAGCTTCTATTTTATCGGGATCAGTACTCACACCCTCTTGGGACATGATGTGACCCACATACTTCACTGAGGTTCGGCAGAATTGGCATTTGTCAATTGAAAGCTTCAAACCATATGCCTCCAACCTATCAAGTACTTTAAGAAGTCTTTCCTCATGCTCCTCCAAGGTTCTTCCAAACACAATCAGGTCATCCAAGTAAACTTACACTTGCAGTAGGTTCATGTCTCCCACTACTTTCTCCATAAGACATTAAAATGTGACAGGGGCCCCAGAAATCATTTGGGGCATGCGTTCGAACTGGTAGAACCCTAATGGACAGATAAAGGCTGTCTTCTCCTTATCTTCTTCTCACAGATGGATCTGGTAGTATCCACTCCGAAGATCCAATACAGAGAACCACTGGCTACCCAACAGACAGTCCAAGGCATCTTGTACTCGAGGCATGGTGTATTGATCAACTGTAGTGTGCCCGTTTAGGGTGCGGTAGTCAATACACATCCGGATTTTCCCACTCTTCTTACAATCCACCACAACAGGTGAGGCATAGGGGCTTTGGGACTCTGTAATGATACCATTTGTGATCAGCTCTTAAAGATGATGGTGTACATCTTCCATCTCTGGGTATGTCTACACTACCCCGCTAGTTCGAACTAGCGGGGTAGTGTAGACATACCCAGGGTGCGGTAGTCAATACACATCCGGATTTTCCCACTCTTCTTACAATCCACCACAACAGGTGAGGCATAGGGGCTTTGGGACTCTGTAATGATACCATTTGTGATCAGCTCTTAAAGATGATGGTGTACATCTTCCATCTCTGGGTATGTCTACACTACCCCGCTAGTTCGAACTAGCGGGGTAGTGTAGACATACCCCACTTGCTAATGAAGCCCGGGATTTGAATTTCCCGGGCTTCATTAGCATAAGCGGGGAGCCTCCATTTCTAAATCCCCGCTGCTTCAAACCCCGTGCAGCGCGGCTACACGGGGCTCGAACTAGGTAGTTCGGACTAGGTGCCTATTCCGAACTACCGTTACTC